AGCAGCCACCCTGAGCTTCTAGAAGTGGCAGGGACCACAGAGCAGTGCCCAGCATTAGGGTGCTGGAACCATAGGCTACAGTGCCTGGGCCCTACAGGGGTCTTCACCAGGTCAATACCAGGTGTGAGTTGGGGTATCCTTCTTATGGGGTCCCCCTACCTCCTGGGTATTCAGCTTCCCATTGATTTTGTGACTCTCCGGATATACTTCTAATGAATGCCCTTCCTACTGAAATTACCCAGAGTTGGCTTCTGTTGCTTACAATTCAAAGTGCTGACAGATACAAGTGATACGACTACATTCTTAGAGATAGGAATGTAACCTCCAGGAAGAAGGGAGAGCAAAATCGTTACAAGGGGTGTTGCTAAAGAAGGGGACATGGGCGGGAAGGAGTGGGCAGGACTCGACTGCTTTTCCTTGTATAAGCCCCTCCGGGTGATCTTTTTAAAAAAATTCATGTGTCTTTTTAAAAATTTCATTTAAAAAATATTTGTATTGATTTCAGAGAGGAAGGGAGAGGGAGAGAGAGATAGAAACATCAATGATGAGAGAGAGTCATTGATCGGCTGCTTCCTGCACGACCCCTACTGCAGATCCAGCCTGCAACCCAGGCATGTACCCTAACCAGGAATCAAACTGTGACCTCCTGGTTCATAGGTCAAAGCTCAATCACTGAGCCACACTGGCCAGGCTAAATTCACGTGCCTTTATGACTTTGATTAAAATTTAATTTTTTTGTTAGTTTCAGGGCTCAAGTTCATGTTAATGACATGGCTGAGGTGTGACAGTTGGGGGAAGTGGCTGAGTGGTGTGGAGAGGAACTCACTGGCCAGGCATGGACGACCCAAAGGCACGGAGGCCACCACAGTGGCAGCATGTGAGGAACCTGTGAATGGGGGCTAATATCGTCACAAATGAGGGCTCCAGGGGTAGATGAATTGAGCTCCCACGGATCTTTAGAGGAGTGTTTGCTGCCCAGCCAAGTTGGCACCTTGCAGCCCTGGGAGACCAGGGTCTGTAATTGGTCTATTGCCCCAAGCTCCCTGCCCTCCCATTGGTCCCTCTGCCTTATATCCAGGCCCACTCACATTCTGACCAAAGCCTGTAAGAAACATTCCCAGGGCCTCATAAAGTCCCACACAGGATGGAGGGGATTTAGTTTTCAGACAAGTCGGCAATGATGTGGGGAAAGAACAGGAATGAAAGAAATTTTCTCAGAAAGAGGAGACTTTGGGGGTGGGGGGAGGGCAACTATCTGCAGAATATCCAAGAAAGAGAAGGTAGACGGACTATGATCTGGGACCCCAGATTGTTGAACCATCAGCAGTGGGTAGATGCTATAGGCTCTTAGCATTGGGTTCAAATCAGGAAGCACACTTGAAGGAGTGAGTTCCCTGACAGGGGAGGTATGTAAGCAGAAGCTGCACCTCTGCCCACCTGGGGTGGGTTTGGCAGAATTTGTGCATGGGATGATATTCTCCTCCAACTCTGAAACTCTAAGTAAAGGAGATTATGCAGAGCAAGAGAAGGGAGGGTGGAACAAAACAGGGCCCAAGGCAAGAAAGGAGACGCCACAATAGCAGCTGCAGAAACAGCAGCTCAAGATGGAAACATGCCCTTATTTGTGGGGAACTTGTTTCAGCAAATGAGAGACAGTGATGATGCTCAGGCTGTCTCCTGAAATGAAAACCATCTGGAAAAAAATACCAAATTGAACAGGACCAAACCCCCCCCCCTCACTCCCCCACCCCACACACACACTTAATGAACTAAGCCAAGTTTTGTTGCCCGTCCTGATTTATCTGTTTAGAAAGAAGCTCTTTATTCCCATGAGTCAGGCCGCCTATCTGTCCAGATGAGAGCTCAAAACCACAGAGAAGTCACCCATCTGAGGCTTTTTGGTAAAACGATGTTTATTGTGAAATATATCAGCTATACCCAGAATGGATTAAATGTATCGATACATTTTATATAATAAACATTAACTTAACACCCAAATATTCACCTTAAGAACTAGAACCTTAGAATCCTTCTGTGTGTCCCTGGGGGTAACCACTGTTCCAAATTTCAGGTTAATTTTTCCCTTGCTTTTCCTTTAAACCATCCACATATATATCCCTAAGTGATATATTGTTTCATTTTGATTGTCTGTGACTTTAAAGATAACTGGACTCATCGTGCATACATCTCTCTGACTTTTTTCTTTCACTAAACATATCCACTTGATCAAGTTTGTTATACTTACTATTAAATCTTTCAAGTGCTTTCTTTTTTTCAATCTACTTGATTTATGTTATTACTAGTGCCTGGTGCATGGATTCGTGAATATTGAAAGGAAATCAATTAGAAGGTGGCCAGCGGACGGGACTGGGTGAGATGGGCCAAACATGCCCTGGAGCCAACCTCCTGTGATCCCTCCCCGGGGGCCACATCTGGGGCAGCGCCGTAGCTCGAAGGGTGTCTGCGGAGTGAGTGGGGTCCCTCCGGCAGGTGGGGGTCCCTCGGCCTGGTCTGTGGAGATCGGGCTGAAACCAGCTCTCCAACATCCCCCGAGGGGTCCCAGATTGCATGAGGGAAGCTCTCGGGTGACGACGCACCCAGAATCGGCTCCCTCCTCTCTGGTTCTGGGGTGCGTCACCCAAGAACAACCGCTGCCAAGTCACTGCAGCTCAGCAGCTCCTGTGTTGAGCATCTGCCCCTTGGTGGTCATTGTGTGTCATAGCTACTGGTCAGACGGTCGGACGGTCACTTAGCCATATATATATATATATGAGCAATAATGTTAACTGTCCCATTATAACAGTCTTTCATATTTCCTTTTATGCATGTCAACTATTGCTTTAAATATTTTAGACTATGTTATTAATGTGTAAAGATGATAATTTCTCTATCTTCTGGGTGAATGAACTGTTTTTTAATCTTCATTGACCCTCTATCTCTAGTAACACTTTTGGCCTTAAAGTCAATTTTTTTCTGACTTCAATATGACCTTCCCATTTTTCTTTTTCATTAGCCTAGAATATATTTTCCATCCTTTGACTTTTTTTATTTATTGATTTTTTTTTTTGAGAAAGAGAAATATCAAGTTGTTCTTACACTTATTTATGCATTCATTGGTTGATTCTTATAAATGCCTTGACTGTGATTGAACCGCAACCTTGGTGTACGGGGACCATGCTCTAACCAACTGAGTTACTTGGCCAGGGCATCATCCTTTGACTTTCTATCTCTGTGTCCTTATGGTTTTTTGTGTGTCCCTTGTAAATAGTATATGGTTGAATTTTATTTTAATAACTTTATCTTTTATTTTTTTACATGAACTTAATTTTTTAAAATAATTCTTTATTGTTGAAAGTATTACATATATCCCCCACTGACCCCCTCCATCGCACCCCCGACCCCTTCAGCACCCTGGA